TCGGTTGGTTAAAATTGAGCTTTCCTGATGATAAGCTATTTTCCATAATTAATCTCATTTGAATACTTAATCCCAATTTTGATTTTGGTTGCATAAAAATTATTCATAAAATTCGCAGAGTTGGTAACTTGGATTTTCTTGAAGCTTTTCATACTCACAAAAATTTACTAACTTTGCTTAATGGCATTATTTCATTCCAGGACTTCCGAAAGCTTTTAGAATTCTAATAGAGTTTCTTTAATTTCATTACTATTTTACTCGGCAGCTGGCGCTACGTTCATGTTTCCTTTGCTCCACCCATTGCTTTTGGTATAAATTTTATTGCCACTCTTTTTTTTTTCCAGCAGTACTTTGCTTCTGAAGAAGAGGGTCCTGTGTCTGTCGTCCTCGAAACTAATAAAAATTTGTTCAAAATCTACGCCAGATGAAATTGTATTTTTTATCTAATTAAAAACTTTTCATCCCTGTTTCTCTTTCTAGTGATATCTTTTATAAATTGGATTATTTTGGAAACATAAACGAGGGTTATTTGCTTTAGGGAAGAAGTATCTTTATGGAAGTTCAGAGGACTTTCTAGGTAAAAACGGCCGAGCGGTAAAGACGCTGAACACTGGTAGTTCGGTTCGAATCCCGCGAACGGGCTGGCTGCATGGGCGTTTTCGTGGTTTTCCCCATGTGTAACGTGTATACGAGCCAGTTTCCCTTTCCTCCACGAAGGCATCCCTCCCTTTAGGCAGATAGCCCTGTGTGCTTTGCCATAGTTAAATAATTCAATAATCCAATCTAGGTAAAAACATCTTTTATTTATGTTACACATGCGAAAAGCCATGAAAATTCGCACTCATCCCGTGTTTGAACTGTAGTTTCGTACTACTGTGCTCAACGACCTTCAGGTTCAGCAGCTAGTACTTCCTCTTTTATAAAGTAATAATCGAATGATTCTTTATAGAGTATCATTTAGCATTATATACTATTGTAGTGTTACGTGCGTACGGATTCGTAATGGATTGAATGCATACAGAACCGACTACAGCTTAATAAAATTTATTTTCCCAAAAGAAACACTTTACAGTTCTGGAAACTTTCCACAAAATTTTTCCCCTCTTCTCAATACAATAGAGTACCTTACATTTTTCAAAATTACCGGAAGGCATATACGGTTAAAGTTACACTTAAGGGCCGGATATAGTTACACCTAATTACAGGGATCAAGTACAGTTATTCAATCAGAATACCAATTGCAGTCGTCAAGGGACTGGATCAAAATCTTACCATGTTTGGCGACTTTTGGCCATTTTTCGCCAAATTTGGTGACAAAAGTTAGTTGCCAAAACTCAGATTAGCATCATAGTCATTTACCTGAATATTGAATAGACTTGCTGCTTTAATTTTATTTTTCAGGCATAGTTCTGCTTTCCTTGAAGCCATTCATGCTACATTATATAAAATTCGTACTTGTGGAGTACTTTGATACAAACACGCTATATGAACGTCAAAAATGTCGAACTTAAATATTTTTACTCCACACTAAAAACTCAGTGTTCGTCAAAATTTCAAAATATGCAGAAAAGTTGCAATAGTCTGTGTACACGAGAAGAATATTAGCCATTTATTCTTTATCCGCTTCTCACGAATATGCACTGCATAAGAATGGAGCCGATATTTTTAAACTGCCTAGAAAAGTTACTATTTTAAGGTTTAATTCTGTTGTTTTTTCCTTATTTCTCCTTCCGACTATCCCTTTTTCAATTTTTTTAACTGATCATTCCGAGTTCAAATCATTGTGAAATCATTGTTTGGAAGCATGAAATGGAAAGAACAGATAGTAAGTGCTATTATTTGATTTTTGAAAGACTTAAATATTGCCTATATGTGATTTTTCTTAACATTAGAAACGTCAAACGTCGTTTGGAGGTTGAGTTCTGTTGTGACTTATCTCACTTTTCTGGAAATAACATAAGAGAAAATCCGTGAATTTTACCAAGAAGAGGAGCATAGGATTGTATTGGTTGCTGGGGTGTGCCTGGAGCACCTTAGCACGGTTTAGTACCTCACATGATAATATGACTTTGCCTGGCTCCGTCCCAGTTTTGAAGGATGGCATGGATCCCCGGGTGATGAATCCAACGATTCCAAGCTGTGCGTATATAAAATTTAGAACTGAAACCAACGTCTTGTATCTTCTGAAGATATTTAGTACGTGGCTCTGTTTCAAACTGAAAGAGCCTTTAGTGAAATTTGCGCAGATATAAATTTATTTATTTTGTCGAAAGTCAATAAATTGTAAGCTTACAAAATTGTGGGATGGCATCGTTCATTATAATCGGATGACTCGACAAGCTGTGAGAATAAGTCTTTTACTTTTTCGATGATGGAAGTCAGACGATTCCGCCATTAAGACGATGACGCGACTGAAAGATGCTTACATGTAAAAGACAGTCGATTCTCTTCATCTGTATATATCATCTATGTAAATTCATCTTTCTACACATTAATCATTTTGTAGTTTGTAGCAACTATTCATGTTTCTATTAAATATTCAAGTTATTTGTAAATTGGACTAGGTTATTAGCCCCTAGACAGCCACAAAAGAAGTGAGTTTACAGACATCATATTCCTAGACAGTAAGTACCGATTCTACAGAATTGGGGGCCTATCCGGGATAAAACGAGCGTCTTGTAGTACAATGTACATATTTCCCCTATCTATGCCTATCATTATCTCATTCTTATTGGTCCGAATTCAACAGAAAAGGAGATTATCTGGGTCCAGGTCTTTTACAGTCTTTCTCGCCAAATTATTCAAAGGAACAAGAGCATTCATAAAATCTGTAGTCGTTGCGTTATCCAAAGAGGTACGCAAACCATTCTCATTAAGACCATAACTCCCAAAACACTTTTCTTATGAATCAGTCTTTGATAAATATTTTCAGCTTCATTTTCATTTGCATCCATTATAAACCAGCTGCAACTAATCATTTACTGACATAATGTTCATTCTTAATGAACAATATTTCCAATCAGTTGTGGGATGGCATCGTTCATTATAATCGGATGACGCGACAAGCTGTGAGAATAAATCTTTTACTTTTTCGATGATGGAAGTCAGACGATTCCGCCATTAAGACGATGATGCGACTGAAAGATGCTTACATGTAAAAGACAGTCGATTCTCTTCATCTGTATATATCATCTATGTAAATTCATCTTTCTACACATTAATCATTTTGTAGTTTGTAGCAACTATTCATGTTTCTATTAAATATTCAAGTTATTTGTAAATTGGACTAGTTTATTAGCTCCTAGACAGCCACAAAAGAAGTAAGTTTACAGACATCATATTATCATATTACCATCATATTGTTTACAGACAGTAAGTACCGATTCTACAAAATTTTCATAAATTTTTTAATTAATTATGTTTGAAATGTTTATCAATAGCTCTTATATAATGTCACTTCATTCGCGTATTCCCAAAACAAAAAGAAAAGCTATTTTTTAAATTTCAGATACAAATTTTAGATCGTCTTCCAAATAAACAAGATGCTAGGGAAGTTTTGCTGCACATGAAGCTACCGTAAAAACTATTAAGAAACATGAAAACTACAATTAGGAAAACCTTATGTTCAGGAGCAAAAATAAGCGTTAGTTTATCATGCGATACAAGAAATGTTGTCTAGGGAAACAAGAGCACCGGAGAATGCTTATGCTAATTTCGCTCAGAATATCACAAAAAAAAAAAAACAATATTAATAGAGAAAGAAGAAGATATTCACAACATTTCTAATAATAGCAATGATATTTCAATCGCACGCAAACACATATGTCCAATTTATTGTCAGAAAATAAAAATAAATAAAACCGTGTTTATGTTAAACAGATTTTTTTTCACAAATAATGTTTTCTCATTTCAAAGGAAAACATACTTTGATACCTTTTCATTTCTTTTTAATACCTTCCTCAAAGGCTTTCTTGATTTTGTTGAAATAAAATAAAAGAATATTTTCAGATATTTTAAAATTAATTTTGCGGTTTTTTTACTTCCTTGTACGAAGTAAAAAAGAAGTATTGTAATCGCGAAAAGTTTCAGGCAGCATATTTCAACGAAAATATCCATTTTGACCGTTATCGAATCCAATTTAACGATGTTTTTGCGTGATATCTGTAGGTAAGGGCAGAATAAAAGACTCTTTTCCTCCAAAAAAATTATAAAACTGCTTTAATATGAATTCTGAAGAGAATTTTTCGTGGCGTCTGTACGAGCTTCTGTACTAACGTAGGTACGTATCTCGCATAACTCAAAAATGAGTAGCCTCAGAAAGTTGAAATTTTGTATATAGGACTGCTATAACATATATATGTGCACCTCGTATTTTGGTTGCAATCGGCCGCACCAAACGTATATAAATATATATATATATATCCACTCTGTTACCCGGCTCAGTGATCTCAGTTTCTTTACTCTTATATGTTTGTAAATTGTGCATTTTTCACCTTAAAAATGATTGAATTATATTGTTCTGATCTTCCGGTTAAGGTTTTTATGCCTTTAGTAAATCTGCAAGCAATATTTTTACAACTATCAACAATTTTAAAGTTGTTTAAGTGCCGCTAAGCCTAATATTTTTTTTTGATGGCGGCCATTGCTTGTTTACATTTGAAACAGCAGAGTAGAGGATTTGCTGCCAATCTAGAGAAACGTAGCTTCGCAACAACAAAGATAACGCATTCATTTATTATTGCGAATTAAATCATGCTTAATCCTTTCTGGAATTTTTTCGAGTAAATGAGTGTTTAAGATTGTAAGATCCAGCCGTGTCCGGTGCCGTAATTAATAGACTCAGGTTTATCTTTTTATTTATTCACACCATCAACGTAAACTATATACACTTTGTACAAATAGAAATATATAAGATAATAGGATTGTTAAATTTATAAAATTACCACACTGAGCATACTGAGCATTTGTCCTCTCCCACCGAAAGCCAGTCCCCAACTTACCGTTTTTCCGCCTAGAGGGCGCTACTTATTTTCAGGGTTACAGTTTCGGAGGACCAGGCACTACACCTTCCCCCTAAGATTGTGGTTGGGCAGGATGTCCAAACATATTCTGACAACAAAGCCTGGTGCTCACAATTCAACATTATAACTACTAATCAACTGAAAGAAAATATAAAATATTACAACATTTGCATAACAAACTCTTACAAGTATACGTTTTAAAGAAAAAATTCTAAATGGTTAAGAATGCTACACTTAAATCATCTAATTGCTGTAAGTAACTAATTTCAATAACTTTACAAATATTACTTAGTAAAGATATATCATGCAGTAAGCTTTAAAGAAAATAAGAAAATTAACAATTAATCTAACCACCAAAATTAAAGTCTTTATGAATTGTCCATAAATGTTTTTGGTCCATAAAAAGACATAAATAAAAAAAAAAGGATATTCATCCTTCTATCAGTCTGGATAAAGCATCTGCGTTACCCATTTTGACTCCTGGTAGATGCTTCATGTCTATTTCGTATTTTTGTAAAGCAAAAGCCCAACGTTGTAATCTAGATGATTGCGGTGCACATTTTGTCAGGTAAGGTAAAGGATTATGGTCGGTGTAAAGTTCAACTTTGGATCCAAAAATCCAGGTTTCAAATTTTTTCAAACTCCACACAATAGCATATGCTTCTCTTTCTATAGTAGACCACGATTGCTGAGCTCGAGTTAACTTCTGACTTGCATAGGCTATGGGATAATTGCGTTCATTGAAATTTGTGACAAACATGCTGCAACTCCTATTTGTGATGCATCACAATGTATAATGAATGGTTGTCCCAAAACTGGTGTATACAACGATGGAGCTTTAATCAGAGCATTCTTGAGTTCCTCGAAAGCAATGCGTGCTCTTCTTTCCATGGTATTTCTTCAGGTATCTTCTTCTTTGTAAGTTCAGTAAGTGGATATACTAATTCAGAATATTTTGGAATATAGTCCCTATAATAGTTACATAGACCTAATAAACTTCTGAGTTGCTTCTTGGTCTTCGGTTTTGATAATCTGGAAATTGCTTCTATCTTCTCAGGATCGGCTTGATGTTTTCCAGATCCGATTACATGACCCAAATATTTGATTTGCGGTTTGGCAAAATCACATTTGCTGATATTGACTGTAAAGCGAAGCTCTTCCAACTTAATAAGTATCATATCCAAATGAACCATATGAGATTTCCAGTCCTTTGAAAATATTGCGATGTCATCAATATATGCTCTGGCAAAGTTGTATTCATGGAATGCTTTATCGATTTCCCTTTGAAAGGTTGCTGCAGCGTTTTTGAGACCAAAACTCATAACTTTAAATCTGTATTGTTGTCGATGGGTTTTAAACGAAGTGTAATCACGACTTTGAGGATCCATAGAATAACCTCTTAGTAAATCCAGTGTTGATATTATATTAGCTTGTTTTATTGAATGTATAAGTTCTGAAGAAATTTGCATAGGAAAATCATCAGTAATTGTCACAGAATTCAATGCACGATAATCAACACACAGTCGAATTCCCCGTCTTTCTTGTTCACACAAACTATAGGATATGCAATTTCTGCACTACTTTCTTCTATTAAATCAAGTTCTAACAGCTCTTCAATTTGTTCATCAACTTTGGATTTTAAAAGTTTCAGGAATCCGGTAGATATGTGGCTTTTTCCTTTCTTGATTGGGTTTTAATTTTATTTTGTGGAAACCCACCTTTGCAATTTTCACTTTACCTGTAAATAACGATTCGTGCTTTCTTATGAGTTGCTTAATTTGCTGCTGTTGGTCACACGTTAAATGTTCAAGTTGCAATTTTTGGAGAACAACTTCCATATCTTGAGACGAAGTTTGCGGAGTTGGATGAATCTCTCCAAATTCTTCTTCATTTTCGAAAATAACTCCCACAGCATTTACTCTAGAGATATACTTTCTGATTTTCTTCACGTGAACATGTCTTACTTTCCCATCTGAGAGTTTAACTTTATATGAATGAGGTGGACAGTAGTTTATAATCTGCCCTGGACCTGTCCATCCTGCATAAAGTTTATTGGACGAAACAGGAATAGGCAAATAAACGTTATCTCCTTTTTTGAATTCTTTAGGTATAGCTCGACGATTAAAGTAATTCGAATAAGCTGCCTTTTTCTCAGATGCTATCAAGGATGCTTGATCAGCTGCTCGTTCTAAGTTTATTTTCATTTCTTGTAAATAATCAACAAATAATTGCTTCATATTTAAGGGTATCGGTATTTCACCACTCCAACTAGATTTCAAAACACTCAGTGGGCCACGTCTCTCTCGACCATACATTAACTTGAACGGAGACCCCTGTAGTAGAATTAGGAACCTCGCGATAAGCAAAGAACAAATATGGTAGATACTTATCCCAATTAGATGGATCCATACGGATGATGTGATGTAGAGCGTTTTTCAAAACTCGGTTGTACCTCTCAACAAGTCCATTACTAGCTGGGTATCCTGGAACTGAAAATCTAGGATGACATCCAAGACGCTTCATAAATTCTTGTGTCAGTTGAGAAATAAAGTTAGTTCCTTGGTCACTTGCTATAATTTTCGGAATACCAGTTCTTGTAAATATTTCCAACAGAGCATCACAAGTAGCTTTTGCCGTTAAAGAACGTAATGAAATGGCTTCTGGCCAACGTGAATGTTGATCCATTAAACATAAAACATATTTATGTTTTCTAGTCGAAGGAGGATCTATAGGACCTATAATATCGATATTAACAACTTCGAATGGTAAATAAGGTCTTAGAACTGGGGTAATAGGAATTCTATCAGTTATTTTTTCGGTACTTCTTAACTGACATGGTTAGCAAGATAAACAATATTCGGTAATATCATTATTCATATTGGGCCAGTAGAAATTATATCTGATTCTCTCTTTTGTTTTCTTTATTCCCATGTGAGCCCCGAAAACAGATACATGTGCTAATTTTAAACATCTTTTCTTCGACTCTTTGGAAGAACTAACTGCTGAACCGAATCGCCCCTTACTTTATCCTTGTGAAAAATTATATTATCAAGTTCCATAAAATTTCCTTTCCCCTGTTTTAAATTAATTCTGACGTCTTCTAAAGTCGGGCAAGACGTCTGCTCCTCTCGAAATTTTAATATATCATTACGTTGATTATTTTCTAATATCTGTATTGGAGTCGTTACTGAATGCGTGTTGTCATATGAATTAGCTCTATTTTTTATTTTAGTTTTTTCATATGGCTGAGGAATGTTTATTTCAGGCGTATTTGACTCCACTTAGTCTAAACATTTATTCGTTTCGCTTTCCAAAATCATTTCTCCCGTTAAATTTGTTTCTCCCTTCAAACCGCATCCGTCGCGCAAGAGTTCAAAGGTCTGTATGGGTAACAAACAATCTACGTTCAAGCGATCTGTTACCGCCGCCAAAATGTCTACCGGGTAGCTTAATAAACCAGAATCCTCATCTTTCAGTGACATAAATAATTTTATTAATTTCGCTTCTATTTCTTCGCCACATGCAGATGTTAACTTAATTTTTCCATTATCTTGATCGGTTGACGATACAATATTACTGTTTAATACCGGAATTTGTGTACCTGAATCGATAATAGCTCAATTTCTTTATTTTCAACTAATATTTTCACATATTGCAAAGGCTGAATTTTGACTTGTTTCTTCTCGAGGTATTCTGTATTAATCTGGGCCACAACCGCATCACTTTTCTGTGATTTATTACTTTCGGAAGTAGTTTTATTTTGATTTTCGCATTTAAATTTTTTCTGACAGTCTTTAGCTATATGTTGGAAAGATCCACAAATATAACAATCCTTTTTAAATTTAGTAATTTTGGGCAAACCATCCAGTCTTCCCATAGGAGGGGGTGCATAGCGGGTACTTTTGGTTTCAATATTCGGTGTTTTCTCAGAATAACTACCGATATCATTTAAAGATTTTCTCTTACAAGCGAAGAACGTGTCACATTTTCCGATTTCCGCGGGTTTTAACCAAGTATCGCCTTGTTTTACATTTATATGCATGGCTGTCTCGTGATCAAAAGTTTGCATTAATTTATGGGCTACAATTAATTCATGCACTGTATTGAAATCATTCGCATTCCTTAAGGTGCAATAGTATTTCCACTGTGTCATTATCCGGGCTGCAAATTGTGCATGTGTTTCCCCTAACTGACGTTTAGCCTTTCGAAACATATCCAAAACATGCTTGAGCAGTTGGCTGATATTCTTTTAAGATTTTATTCTTAACTGCTTCGTAATTTTTGACATCATCTTCACTAACATAAATCAAAGCGTTTGTTGCATTTTCACCTAAAAGATTTATCAAAATTTCGGCTTTGTATTCTTCTGGTACATTTTTAATCTTAAATGCTCTTTCTAGGGAAGAGAAATAAAGTGTCCATGATTGCGAACGAGTCAGAACGGATATCGTTAAAGTTTTTATGCTTTTAATTAAATTTTCTAACAATGTGTTATCCGAAAAATTAAAATTAGATGAAACGCTAAGTTTCGCGATTTCTAGTTCGTGTTCTTTCTCTAATTTAAACTTTTTTCTAGCTTCAGCCTTCAACCTCAGCTTCAGCAGTGGATTTTCAGTGGATTTCCTATCATCAATTATGGATATTAGCATAGATTTAACGAATTCGGGATCAGTTTTGTAATCATTACTGTTAGTAATTTTATCTTTCAGTTCTGTGAGTTTAAGACTTTCATCAGCATCTTGACCTAGTTCTTTTGGCAATAAAAATAAATCTTGTTTCTTGAGACCTTTAACCGAAAACATTTTGCGACTTTCTTATAACTTCGTAATACAGCGCTAATTAGTTCAAACTATTATAGTAACTTATCAATTAATATACTCATTATACAGTTTACGTAACTAAAATTTAGAGTCACTTTAAAATAATAGGTAAGCATAAATCACTTACCTTTTCTCCGTTTGAGGCGTTAGTTTCGATTCTAATCGTGTCGTACTGCGACAGTGTAAGATCCAGCCCTGTGTCCGGTGTGCTGTCCTCATACGTAATTAATAGACTCAGATTTATCTTTTAATTTATTCACACTATCAACGTAAACTATATACACTTTGTACAATTAGAAATATATAAGATAATAGGATTGTTAAATTTATAAAATTACCACACTGAGCATACTGAGCATTCGGCCCTCTCCCACCGAAAGCCAGTCCCCAACTTACCGTTTTTCCGCCTAGAGGGCGCTACTTATTATCAGGGTTACAGTTTCGGAGGGCCAGGCACTACAAAGATTTTCTTAATTTTTAATAATTTAATTTTTAATAATTAGTAATTTTTAATAAAGATATTTTGAGTTTTTATCTATTTTTGCCTTGTCGCGAAGTGAGAACTGAATTAATTGAATGAGAAATACTCAATCGTCTGTGAAAAACTGTTTCTTTTCTGTTTTGTTTGCTTAATTTATTTCATACATCGTTTTAGCTTTATTATAGTATTTGAATAGAACATGTGGCCACGATTAGATAATTCTTTAAATGATATAAATTTTCTGCATTCTGAGTTATAATATAACCATAATAGTCGGTGGTAATGTATATATTTTCGTTTTCTTCTTATTTAACCAAGATTTTACTTCATTTTCTCTACTTATAGATTTACTTATCAAATTACAAAGCGCTATGGACTTTGTTCCTGCCAAAGCAAGTAGACTTTGTGTGTAAAAAGGTTTTACTCTTGTGAAACGTTTCAATGTACTGCAATTGTGTTTTTCATCATGTTACTTACCAATTATTGCTTACCAGAAGAACAATTTTTATGAAATTTTAAAAATGCCTTACAATACATCCTGCAAGAGATGGCGCAACCAGAGCTCCAGTCAATTAAAATGCTTTTGATCCCTACTAATAGATGACGTCACACGAGCACTTCATTTGTTCAAAGTTTACTTATTCTACGGACGGCGGCACAGGAACCTCCGTCGCTAGTAATCTCTGAGTTCTAGCATAGCATGTGTACAAGTACTTCCATATTATTTGACACAACTTACTCGATTCTTCAAGTATTTAAAAGTCAAGTATTATATATTGGTAAATGCCGTTAATGGTCGATTGCTTCTTACTAAGTAATAGGACATAGACATAGACATATTTATAATATGAACGAAATATAATACTGTTAAGTGAACCTAGCGCCAGAGTGTCGCTATGGTAAACAAATAGGGTGAATTTTAAAGAAAGAATGCATTTCTTCTATTGTGGTTTATGCGCTGTCGGCGAAGTAGATTTAATTCAATCCAATAAGTTTAAACGAAATGCAAGAAGACATGTGTATAATTTAATATCCCGTACAAGGAAGTCATGTGGTGTACGCATCAGATTTTTTACATCTGGAATCAATTATCTTTTTTTCCACAAATACTATGTCTTTTTTACAAGAACTTTTCAGAAACGGATTTGCTGTGCAAAACCAAAATTAGATGAACTTTATTTTCATTTAACAAATGCGTTGAAAAGTGATTTAAGTCAAAGAATTCGTTTCACTGACTTTTCTGATAAAGTATACATAACATTAGGCATTTAATTGATTAAATCCTGATAAATATTTCACTAATTGGAATCTTTTTTCTACCAGGAACATCGAAAAAAGAGTTTTCATTGCTCATCTTCAAAATTGTTTTACCTCCTGGTCATCCTTGAATACTGAAATTTTTCTCGTAAGATTCCCCACCTTATTTTCAGAATTTATAAAAGTCAATGTCTAAGATTAGTATTTAAGGAACTAAAACCTGCATTCCTCCAATTTTTTAATGACGCAGTTTTCATAACAAACGGATCCAATGTAATAAAATAAATCTTCTCTAGTAGCGTATGTGTCGTATTACACTTTACTGCAGTGTCAAGTAAACACTTATAAAACTCATCATCTTGAATTTATTTTACGTTTTATCTATTTACTATCAAAAACAGTTGAGAGGGAGGAGTATGCTCTTTTGCATACGTATGATAGTTCAGAGACATCTATCATACGTCTGTGACCTTGAAAAGTTTTAATCTCTAAAACAAAATTCGATGACGTAAATGATTTATCAATTTAAAAAATGTAAAACTCTTTTAATCTTTGACCAATAAATGCACAACTACATAAATCGGAATATATAACAATTTGTTTCATAAACTGTGAAGGATAGGTTCCATTATGCAATTGCTTTTTAAATTACAACATCTGAAAATTGTCATATTTTCATTACGTAAAAAGTATGCAAATTTATTTCGCTTTTTAAATTGATGCAAAATATTCTTTACTTCTTGAAGAAGAACAAGTTCATAAAAGATACATAGTATATCTAAGAAATTCACACAGCTTTTCTCTGAAAACCATAGTTAATTTGAGATTACATGTTTCTTAAATTTGAAATCCAAATTCGCATATTTTTCCCCTGCATTTTTCGTTTAATAATTATATAAATCAGATTAAAGTCTAATTCCTCACAGAACATTTTATCATTAAAAATTTGTATAATTTCTTAATTTTTAAATATGAGAAAAATCCTACAATTATTCCTCTTTTCTCCTCAAATATCTAATGTTGCAAACCAGAAGTAAGTATATTAACCAGAAGTATATATAACCAGAAGTAAGTATAAACTGAAAATTGCCACTTCAAAAATGTATCATTGTTTGGACAAAGTGTAAAATAGACAAATATGTAGATCAAAACTATAACTTAAATTGGCAATAGCCTTTTAATTCCTCATTTTTATTTCGATCTTTCCCCTGTCTATTCTAAAAATAGAAAATGCTCATAATAACTTTTTCTGGACTGCGTCATTTATATATTATTCCATATCATATGACTTTTATGCAGTGGAGATGATGTAGCTAATTCGAAACTTAAAATTTCCAGAATTGAAATCTTTAAGCTAATCTTCCATACTGAATAAATATGCTCTGGCTTTCTCCATCTCGACCCAGCTAGACTGCTGCATGCTGGTCTTCCTGTTGCAACATCGTCAAAAATGGGAATGTTCTGAAATAGGCACAATCAGTGTGCTAATTTGCTTGTAACCGCAAAATGTTTAACTAAAAATAAAAGAAATATGACTTAAATCTGCTAAGACTGCATCTTATAGCATATACACTTTCAAGTTAATTCTTTACTACGGATTTACTATGCATGCTTCAACATCTATCTACGTCAGTCCTATATTATCATATATATATATATGTATATAAACTTAAAGCATCTAAAGTTAATATAAAATTGAAATCAAAGCAAGGCAATTCTTCAACAATATTAATAACTGTAACGGTGTATAAGATGTTTAACACAATATCTAAACAAATCAAAATTAAAATAAGAATTCCTGGTAGAACAAATTCGAAAAATAAAAATGCGAAAGGGAAACTATACAAAATATAAAAATTAATCTGCCTTTATTAATACTCCAATTCAGAACTCATCAGGGGAAACCTGTTTCGTTCTTCTGTTTCATTTGAGATCAAACACTGAAAATAGTTAAAGTAAATTTTCAATTAAGATATTAAAATTCAAAATTATAGCATATTTTTTCCAAGAACTACAAATTTTTGCTTCTCCAGAACAGTTTTGAATTCTACTTTCTTTTGCTTTTCTTATGCAAGGAACGCAGTTTGGTCATTTAAAGATTTCAGTTGATTTACGTTAAATCCGCTTAAGAATTTTAAAGTTTGCGGTTTTTTTTTTTTTTTTTTTTTTTTTTTTCAATTTTTGTTTCAAATAGGTTTTTAGCTTTTGCTGTTTAAGGCTCAGATTTTATTATTTATAGAAATCTCTATGAAAAGTTTTTCGTTTTCTTGGTATTAAAAGTTTAGTTTAGCATAATAGTTGACCACCCAATTTTTGAGTGTTGTTTAAATGACAATTTGGTTTAATCTATATTTGTTTTGCTCTTCATTTGTAATTGCTTTTGACTTTCGATTTTGCAAATAATGGTTTTAGACCAGTTTTTAATTGCATTTATTTTAAAATCGTTTTTTCATTTTTACATTTTACATTAGGTAACGTTTTTTTTTTTTTTTTTTTTTTTTTTTTTTTTTACATCTTTTACATGTTTTTGTAAGAGAATTATGTTACATCTTTATTTGTGAAAACAAAGCGTTAATAATTTACATATGAACTGCACAATTGTTTTATTCTTATACGGTTAAGTAAAATTTACATTAATTTAGAAGGTAGAATATTCTAGTTCAAAATCTAATATCTTCTGTATTTGTCTATCATTACTTAAATTCAGTTTTAAGTCTGTTTTAAACTATTTATCACATAGTGTGAATCACACACTTTTTCATAATATTTGAGAAAGGTTCTTAAACCACACATTGAAACTATAATATATATTGCAGTATTTCATTATAATTACCAAAGAATATTTCCTTCTTGAAGACTTACGTTTTCCATATCTTACATCCTAAATGCCAATAAATTTTTCAGTCGCAAAGGCTTAACAGACTGACATGTAGCTGTACACATTAAGAAACTATTTGTTACTTAATTTTATTATCAAAAACAAAGTGTTTTTTTTTTTTTTTTTTTTTTTTTTTTTTTTGCACACTCTCACCAAATATTGTCACGTATCAAAAATAACTGAACTTGGCCACCTATACATCAGCATAACTAACTCTTAATGAGGGCACCAAACATTCGTCTACAATGTCTGCTTGCTCACGATGTCTGAGAAGTTGTCAGTTTTCACAGTAAGAACGTCGAGTAGAATGTGCCAGTTTCTATTTTTAAAATAACCCCACTTGCAGAAAACTTTTTATACCTCATACACACACTTTCTCCTTTCGTCTTAACAAGCCGAAAAAAAATAGCAAAATCATGAGTGATGTTAAAAACTAAACAAATTATAAAAGTAATTTTACTTGCTACTCAGTTTAGTAATCTTACTTTTTAAAATTACATAGATATACTAATTCATAAAGCATTAAACGATCTTTTTATGCGCATTGATAATGAACTTGAATTTTGATTTTTTACGCTTTACAGATGGGTATTTACATACTTTTAGAACGTTTTCGGCGCCGTTTAATTAATATTTAAAATATAGAGTATTTTTTAAATGTTCAGTCTGACAGCTCTAGACTATAAGTCAGCATCGTTATTTCCATGATAAAAGGTCTTTTCGTAAAATTTCCAGGGATAGTGATTTACATTCTTCTTCCACTATTTTCCAGAGTCTATCCATCGTGCTCGGTTTGCACTTAGAAAGAGCTCTTTTCAAGAGACCAAGGACACAATAGTCCACTGGTAAAACGTCAGGAGACTTCGCAGGAATGCATTGAAAATGTACAAATGCAGTACCTGTACCAGACTTAATTTTTCAAGCACTGCAGTGGTACTTTTCGAAGTATGACTTGTTGCTATGCCTTATTGATGTTTCACTCTTTGAAAGTCATTAGGGTGAAGAAATTGAATTTCTTCTGTAAATGTTGGACAGAAAACTTTCTCTTGATACGTTTTAATTGCTAATGTTAACATTCTTTTTCGCTTATTTTTAATTTCTCATCACAATAGAATCCTGCGACAATCATAAACCTCTTACTTAAACTTTCCTGGTATTGACGGAACAGCGTTTATACACTCTATTCTCTTCATTTTCGCTAATAAACCAACCTTCTTCTGTTGCAATCATTTAGTTTAACTGATGCTTCATGTAGGGTCACAAAGTACTTTCATTTATCTTTTGCTAACTAGTTTTCCTACAGAGACTCAGAGCAATTTGTAATTGTTCTGCGTTGAGCCACATACCTCGACAAAAGCTGGTGAACATTATGCTTTTTCAGCTCTTTTAAGCTGAAAATGTACCAAATTGGTTTATTTTATTTATTGTTATTAGAGATTTGTTTAGAAGATTTTACAATCGATTTCTCAGTCGCCGGATTTTCTCTTCTGACCAAATAATTTAACTTTAGAAAAATTACGAATAATGCATACCTTTTTCGGGTATTCATTTGGGATCTTCTTTCCATGCAGAATTAGTGATTGAAGTGTTTTCCTTTCCCATAAATAATGCTGCTTATTTTTCGCATAGAAGTTTTAATATAATGCATTTCTGATCATTTTTAAATTAAGGAATAGGAATATTTCTCTTCGGAAAGCGCCGAAACATGTCCTTCAATCCACAGCTTGTTCATATAGTATATGACATTTTGTAAGAAGAATCAATTTAAAAGTAGCAGACGATATTTCTCATTTCAAAAAATAAGCTGCCCAAAAGTTTTATTCTAAAACATTTACTTTTTCTTAATTAATTATCGTAATCGTTCTAAAGTTGTCTAAACACACTTTATAATTTTAACACATATTTTTTGTAACTAGTTTAATATTTACTTTTTTATTTTCTATCGAATGTTTCTCTGTAAAAATAATATTATTAAAATTAAATTTCTTATTTAAAATTTTAAAAAAATATTTGTGTGAGGACGGTAGTGACGTTACCCGATCATAAAGGTGCCTCCATCTTTATGCAACTCGAACACTATTCGAAAAGACAGAAACATTCATTAGAGTGCAGAAAAATCTCTACTGAATCCATTTTAAATTCTTTTTGCAAACCGTTTTGCAAAAAACGAGCCCTTTATTCTGTCCTTACCTACAGATGACACGCAAACACATCTTTAAATTACATTTTGATAGCGGTCAAAATGGATATTTTCGTTGAAATATGATACTCGAAAGTTTACACCATTACAGTACTTCCTTCTTACAAGAAACTAAATAATTTAAAACAAATTTCTTGCAACGCCTGGGAAGAAATTTAACAATCTACAATGTTTCATCGCATTCACTGTAATGCTAAGTTGTTATTCAACAGTTCACAGCAGATCTAAAATCTGAATGATTAAAAATAGGTTCTCTTTAAAAATATATGTAAATATAGGCCATTCTTAGAAAATTGTAGACTTTATTTAATTAAAGTTGAAGTACTGAAATATTAAGAATGAAATTTTTTAATTTTAGTACATGTCACAATCTGGTAACATTATTAATAAAACTAATTTCCTGTCTCAAAATGTTTTTCATTGTTAAGTGCCATGATTTTCCAGTATAGCTCAGCATAATTTAAAAAAATTTGACAACGATAATACTGTTAGGAACATTGTATATATGCAAATAATTTTAGTGAAATTATATGTAAAATTGTAGTATCTCTTGCATGAAGTTTCTCTAACATGAAATGCCTGGAGAACCGAAAATAAGATTACAGGGGCAGGACCATTCAACACTGAGATAAATGACAATCTCGCCAAACTGGCGTGATAACGCCAAACTGGCAGTAGTTCTGGTGACTAATTCTTGTCATCAAACTTAGTGACATTTTGGTCCAATCCCTGTATAACTGTAATTAATCTTATTCCTATATGCCACTATAACAATATCCGGCTCTTTTTAACTGTTACTGTGTTATGCCCTTCGGCAATTTGAGAAATCGAAGGTACTGAAAATTTGTCGGCAGCCGGGAAAAGACTATATAAGACTGAAAAGAGCATCTCAAGGTTCTTAGTTCACAGTTGAAGGGGTGAGTAATAAGAGATCTCCGTGCGAGCTTCGCTCTTTAGATGTGCTTTGTATTGCGTTGTGTTTAACGTTCTTAGTGGTTAGAAGTGGTAACTACTGATCGTGCTCTGTCATACTGAGAATAGCGGTACGAGTATTTAAGTGAAAAAGCTCCAGTGTTTCTTTTGGAAAAAATAAATTTTATCAAGCCATCATCGGTTCTGTGTGTATTCAAACCCTTGAAGAACTCGTACGCACGAAACAGTAGCATTTAATAAAATGTATTTCTAAATAATCCTAATTTTATTACATTCTATAATTGTCATTATTATTAACAGAAAATAGAAAAAGTAAAGGAAAAAAAATAAAATCACTTGAAAAAGATCAATATAGCATTCAATAGACTTTAAACTCAAACGATTCTACAGCGAAATACAGAATGCACAGCATTAAAAACTTTTTTTAATAGTTGAAATAATGATACATATATTAATAAAAATTGAGTATCGATTGCTTATCACATAAATTACATGCATTTAAAATTATATGATTTAGATCCATTATTTAAACAAAATTAAATTTAATAAAGCCGACAAAGCTGCTGGTCAAATGCGGAGGTGCACTGAACTTAGAGAGCATTTTAAATTTATGTTAAATCCTAATACATCTATGCTGATTAAGGTTGTTTGTCAAACTGCGAATCACAGGAATCAATGCATATGATACTAGTGCAGGGAAGTATGTTAAATTTAGATAGATTTTAAAATTAAAATTAAATCTAAGAATGATTTTAAAATTAAAGTTAAATCTAAGCATACTGTTGCTTGTAAAGCCTGTTGACGTCTGGCGACTATGGCTCAAGCTCTCTTAAGTATCACCTGTAGGTTAGTAGTGTGGACTTATAATTGGCTATTTTAAGACAGATACTTTAAAGTCCTTTCTTCCCCCTCCCAAACCATGACTCATAACCATATAAATGACTGCTGCGGAAAAAAGGTTGAATACTCTAATTTGCCGAAATTCACAAACTTTCTCTGTGCGGCGATGACGACATAAATTACGATCCATGGATCTAATAAGAAATAGACTAACCCAAATAAGTTTTCTCCTTCGTCTGAGGCGTTGCCGGCTGTCACCTTGATCACATCCGGAGGAGTAGGGACGACTTGCAGAAATTTAACATTGGTTGCCTATTGCAGCGTGTATAATTGTCAAGAAAAAAGCTGGTTGTAGCGCCTCATTTCACAAATTAGAATTTCTAAATAGTTTTATTTTTGAAATTGAGATGGATTTTTAAAAATTTAGCATATTTATCAAACATAATTAACGTTCCAAAGAATTATAAAGCTATTGCATGCTTTCATGACTGGATATTTTTTTAGCTTTTCCTATGCTGTAAGGAAATTCGTAACTACTTCTTTTAGAAAATTAAATTTTAAATATGAACTAATAGAAAATTTCAAACAAGTAATTTTCTCTTGCAATTTTTTATGCTTTTTATTGGTGTAAATAAGTAAAAAATATAAAATATTTAAAACAATTTTTGAAGTTTTGTTTAAATTCTAAATTGTGCTGCTTTTTTTAAATTATAGATGAGTATTTAGCCAGATTCTATAAAGATTTTATTTCAATTATTTCATAATACGATCCTAGTGATAAACTTTTTGACTCCTTAAAAATGTTTTACATTTAATTTAATATTAAAATGTATTAACCATATAATTTTGCTTGATTTCATTATTTTTAAAATTTTTATTTTTAGTTCTGCATAATTTTTTATTTACTGTTAATTTAATTTATTGCCTAAAGGAGCGGTAGCCTAGAAAGGCTGTTAGTTTCGAAGAGGCATTTGCACGTTTTACTATAAATGTCCGTTTTATCAAATTTGTTACCAAATTATCGACCGCATTATAGTAAAGAAATTACAATGAAGAATCTGCATTAATACATGGATGTTTCTCGCACGGACAAAACGGAGTATGTAGAACCAAATTTTGAATAATAATCCCCACCCAACAAGGGCATCGGACGACCGAATTCATTTGATTTAATCGATTCTATTAGTACAACTTTAACCAAATTTTTACAAACTCAACGTTAGAGCCAGCACGTACAGAAATAACAGTTTATCTCAGTGCGGAAATTCTAAAGATAGCTGTTTTCAAATGTATGTGATTTACGGCACTGATATCAATAATATAGGTAACACACAAAACTGTAAAAAGGTTCCTTTTGGGCAATATAAAAATCTGATTGCTTGTAGATTTATATAATCTTTTTTTTTTATTCATTACGCTAGAAAATTTTCGCTCCGAATTTTATGAATTATTTAAATACTATCACTTTATGTAAATTAATACATATAATCAAATATATGATCTTTTGTAACTTATTATAGTTTGGAAATCACGCCTGAAAATGTTCATTAAATTAAAAAAAAAAAAATTAGATCTTGTTTAATCTTACCCTTATTTATTTTAAGCATCAGCGTACTATCAATCTTATTTATTTTACGCAAAATTAAGTTCCAAATTTTGTGCTTACAGTTTTACTTTTACCAAATAAGATGTTGTACAGAATTACGGGAAAATGGCAAATGTAAAAAGTGCTTTAATGAGATATATTAATCCTATTTGGAAAAACTTGCTTTATATCCATCACTATACAACGTATCACATTTAATAATTAAAAAGAGTTAATGTGATACAAACGCCATAGGTTTCAGTTTTAAAGTAAACCAGATCGTCCCTACTGTTTCTTGCCG